GTATAATACTGGTGAAGAAACTAAATCCATCCATTTATTTTCAATTCATCTTAATTGTTTTGCATTAAAAACAGTCACATTTGAATATATTGACTCCTACAAATATCTAAATCAGCCTTTAAAAACCCACCACGTCTAATTTGCCTCTAATTATGAGACCTCGCTTCCTTTGAAGGGCACTAAAGCCCCCGACTTCCCTTAAGAAGTTCCGAGGACATGACCTGGAGCTTTGGGGCTTTCTGCATTAAAACCCATGGCGGTTACTTTGGCCGTCTTTACTCTCCCCGCTCGCCATCTATCTGTGTTCCTCTCTTTCCCCGCACCAGGCTCTCTCTCTGCCATATGCTCTAAGTTAATGGACTCCTCCACATTAAGCTTAGAAATGTTGTGAAGTAAACAGCCGCTCATGAAATATTCACCACTCTCCTGTAGGCTGTGAGTGAGAGTGAGAGTGAGAGAGAGAGAGAGAGTGTGAGTGTGTGTGTGTCAGGTATACCCGACCGAGCCCGGTGACTCCCGCACAACCACTCACTGGCACACACACACACATGCATACAAAATGTGGGGCGCCCCGAAAAGCTAAAGGTGTCTCTGCATCTCCTCTCTGAGCCAACTGAGGAGAGAAAAGGAGCGCTGGGAGCAGGAGCACTCTGCTGCTGCATGAGTCAGACGTTCGCTGATATACATATTGATGAAAAACAAAAGGAAAAAAATCACGGCGTAACACTCAAAAGTGTAATCGGAATATTTTTGTTGCAAATGGCAGGAAACAAGGGAGCAAACATTTCAGGTTACAACCCTCGCTGAAACATTTCTGTTGTTTTGTTCACGTTGCAGCAGCTTTTTGGAGTGAATACATTTGGATTTGTTTGTAAGTGCCATCCCGTGGTTCAGGGTTTTCTGTCTTTGTTGGATCCACTGCTATGTGGTGACTTTGGTTCTGGTACTTCCCCTGTGTTCCTGACACCGGCGTGGTCTATTACTTGGGAACTGGGCTAGAGGCTGAAAGGTCGCTGGATTGAACCTCCGGGCCAGCTGAGAAAATAGCCAGAGAGGCTGCTCAGTGGCCATTTGTAGCAAACTGTGGCCGCACCGTGCAGCCATCAGGTGGAAATGAGTGTAGCTTTATGGCTATAAAGACGGCTCTTTCTCGGGAACAGCTTGCTCAGCGAACCAACCCCGGATAAATATTGGTTAAAAATTGCTGTCGGAGTTGATGTTTCTCTCGCTGCATTTCTGTACTCTAAACACCTGCAAGATGCCCCCTCTGTTGCTGGTACAGAGAATCGGACGTCTCCAATCAAACTGGTCCAATGCCAGAATACAACGTTTATTTCGAACACTCTTGACAGTATCAGCACAACAAATACAGCAGCTGTCCAATCGTCCAGATATAGAAACGGCTTTTTCTATTTCCATTTATTCCCGCTGGCATCCTTCCAATGCTACTCTGCATTTACTCCTGATCTTCCGATAACTCTCGTGTTTTTCCACCACACTGCATGCCATAACACGCAATACATCTTGCTGCATATCCCACTAAATACGCTCTCCTGCACCATCGTGGATCAGGAGCGACATATAGGTTATGTAAATATATATTGCAGCTGTCCCCGAGCTGTGGTGGTTCATGTTGGTGAAGTAGAATCCGTCCTCAGCCGAGAGCTCCGTGCATAATTCAACGGTGGACCTCGTCGCTCGGTGCTTATTGCCCCGGAGACTGGAGCGCGCTGATGGATGACCTCCACTGTGGCCCGAGTCACGTTGAAGATTAACCAGCAGGACTCAAAACGGGTCATCCGCCACTGACCCCCTCAGGCTCCCCCACATGTTGCTGCAGCACAAGGGCGTTTCGGTGACAGTCCGCCCCGCAGTGCCACATGTACCAGGCCAGCCTTTACCGGCCGAGCAGCCCCCCCCCCCCCTCGGTTTGCCGTGACAGCAAAGTGAAAGGCATTGTGGGAGAGAGACGGTGTTTTGAAATGAAAGTGTAGGTGAAGCAGTACATAGGCCCACTTCTTCCTCTTTAATGTCTCAAGTTGGAGCGCTGCTTATTCAAAAGGATCCAGTGACATATTTTGTTTTTGTCCAGAGTAGCTGGGACCTCCCAATCATATTTCCATTGTACTTGGAAGCTGAGGGAGGAGGGGCTTGGTGGAAGAAAGAGGCAGAATATGACCACTTTCTCTAAAATCCCACTGTCAGCATATCTGTCACACAGTCCAATTTAGAAATGATTGTGCCACTGTTGGCTTTTTTATTATTAAACTGGCATTATTATAATTTCCATTATTTATGCCCACTGTTCATGGCGACTCAAGGGCAAATGTGAGAAGTTTAAGAAAATGCAAAAAATCTTTAGCGCTCCTCTCGCACTCCGGTATCTCTGGTGGAATATTACACAGACAGATCTTCATCAGTGGGGGGGGGGGAAGAAAAAAACAAAACGCAGTATCATCTTCTCTTTAATCAGGCCACATTCTGCTGACACGGGACTCAATAGATATCTCCTCATTTTTCAGTTATCAAACACAGCGATCTATCAAAGAGGGGCCGTGGATGTGTGTCTCCTCTCCTTTGCCACTACATCACAGCCAAGGCTAAGCTGAAAGACGTGTGAAAAGGAAACCGTAAAAACCTTCTTCACCCATTTCCCGAAGCCATTTACTGGATTTGATAATTGCCGTAATGTGCATATAGTAAAGATGTCTTAAATCTTAAAACCTAATTAGCCAATAATCCTGCCAGTGTTTTTTACCCTCTGAAGTATAGAGTACATCTCCTAAGTAATGATTATTGGGTGCTTCCAGTATTTAATTACAAGCGGTTGATCTCGGGGTCTGTTACCTAACCTGTACACGCTGAGCTAAGCTCACACTGCTCAGAGCACACACACACACACACTTCTAAGACCTATACTCAAACATGGAGGGGAATTAGCTTTGGCTATTAATGGTGCAGACTCTGCTGGCATTTCCAATAATCACAAACGATGTGTTTTTCAATGTGGTTGATTTGATTAAGCAGATTTATTTTTTTTTTGACCTTTGAAATGTATGTTTTCTTTGTGTTTGAAGGCAATTAAAAGGGCGCTCAAGCAATTTAGTGATGCGCTTCCATAAAGTTGGGGAAGTTGAAAAACAAATTAAAAAAAGAATAGTCAACGTCAAAGCAGCTGAGTGTGAGATATCCTGACTGTTAGTCCTCCGTATGAGTGAAGCTTCTGAAAAGCAACAACCTACGATTCCCATAATGCAACTCCAAAGAATCTTATTTTTTATTAGATCACCTCTGCCTGTTAAATGCCCTCTTCCATGCCTCCAATTGTAACCCAGGTTTTCCGTCAAATATTTGAAGTCAAAAGCTTAATTGGAGACAACTGCGCCCTGATGACATCATCATCATCAGGGCCCTGATGACATCACCAGCACCTGTAAATAACAGACTTGTTTTACTGCTTTTGTTATAGTCAGGTGTGTATAGCATATCTGTTATCTGATTTGATATAATGTACAACCATTGCACCAGAGAGGTCATTAATTAATACATGACAATTAATATGACAGAAATATATTATCAGCTTGACTTTCAAGTAAAAGCCAAACTACTAGCTAGAAGTGTTACCTAACAAAAAAAACTTGCCATATCCTTTTTGGCAGCAGTTGCCTGCCTCTTCCAACAGTTTCATATTTATCAGTTTTAGTCTACTGAGCACAAACCTCATTATGGCTCCTCAAACACAGTGACAAGGGTTTTTGCAGCCTGCCTTTTAGTAAAGTCCCAGTCGTGCATTAGCTGGTGGAGTGCTACCCACTCACGGCTCGTATTTTCCATAATAAAACACAGCTCAGCACATCTTTGTGCCGCATGCATAAAGAGGAGCCCCCCTTGTGTCAGCCTGGGTTAGTCGCAACAGGAGCACCGGCAAGGAAGGGACCGTCTGCACAGATTCCACTAATCCCGCATCATTCAATAAGAAATGAAGGAGAAGTGTTTGCTACTCATTGTTTCAGGGATCTCAGCTGCTGCATCCTGGCCAGTTTGCATCAGTGAGGCATGAACAGTCTCTATGGTATTACAGCGTGGCACCATTGACGTCCTACATATCGGCGATGCTGCCACGGTAAACGGGATGAGCGGCCGCTAACCTACTTCTGTGCTGCAAGGCGAGATATTGCGACATGTCAATCAAGCGCACCCCACCACCACCCCCACCCCCACCAATCGCATAAAGTCTAAGATGCTTGGCATTATTCCAGCACGCTGTGGTACACACTGATGATAGCACACATACTCACACACACCTGCCAGTCTTCATCCCATCACATGACGACTCCCAGTTGCGTGACAGGGCTTTGTTGGGTAGTTGACAGCGAAGGTTGCTTCATAAACCCGGCACGCGTCCCTCTCGTCTCCCCCCGCTGCTTCGGGATGAAGGGAAGTGATGATCTAGGGATTTTTTTTTTGTTCCCTCTGCTCCATTGAGCTCGCCACATCACCTTGACAATGTTGCGTTCTGTCACGGAGGCCACGGGGATGGCAGCGGGCATTTGGCATCAGGAGTATAATGCTCGGGAAGAACTTTGTGGGGTTTAGCAGTGTGTGTGCGTGTGTGTGTGTGCAGGACGTTGAAAGTGGACATTCGTGTCCTGCCTCGGCAGCAATGCAGCATACTGTGGCTCGGGGATTGCACATCACTATGTAAATGCAAATTGCTGTGTCATGCCGATCAATTCTGTCGGCTGCTGAGACGGGGTTGTGTCGGGTCCAGTCTGCTGCATCTCTGTTTTATCTGTCGGTCTGTCTGCCCGCCCTGTTCTGTGCACTCTGTTTCTGTATGGCACCATATGAGGCGTGTCTCATGCTCTACGCTCTTATTTCAAGCCGACTTGCTGGCCTAGTTCTCCTATGATTTTAGTTTGCTTCTGTTCGACACGCACGCACAAAAACATTGTGCAATAAGCTCAACTAACTCCCATTTCTTTTCTTCTTTTATACAGGACACACCTCCAGTAAAATAATTCTGTGGGACTGGAAGGAAACGTCAGGACGGTGTGGGAGAACCTGGTCGACACGGAGCTGGGTGGAGGGGAGGAGACACCAACAGAGCCATCAAAACACAGACATCTGAGCATGCTAGCCATGCTTTAGCACACGCAGGAAAGGCTGGTTGATCGCTGGAGACACACCCGCCGCCTTTTTCTCACACACTTCTGTGCCACAAAAAAAAAAAACACATCTCTCCCCATCTGTCATTTTACTGCACAGCATCCCTGTAAAGATGCCAAAGCCAAGGTTGGCGCTGTGGCACTTGTGGTGACGGGGCACAGAGTGTGTGTGCGCACATCCGGCAGGCAGGCCGTCGGGTCGGTGGGTGTACAGGCACTCCGAGAGGCATCTTTGGGGTGGGCGAGGTTGCACCATGCGGCCCTGGGCGGGGTCATGGCGATGGATTACCCTGGTGCTGTTGGCCTGGGGCACGCTCCTCTTCTACATCGGCGGTCACTTGGTGAGGGACAGCGAGCACCCTGAGCGGTCCAGTCGGGAGCTCTCCAAGATCCTGGCCAAGCTGGAGCGGCTCAAGCAGCAGAATGAAGACCTGCGGCGCATGGCCGAATCGCTCAGGTAACAACAAGCTCTGAGAAAAGAAATGTTCCTTTGCTGTGTGTTTAGCTGTTAGCTCTGTTAGCCAAACAGGACGCAGGACTCCCACCGGCTGCTAACAGCAAACTAGTTCTCCTCCCACCGACACACGAAGACTCGCTCTGTTGTAGTCAGTGCTACGATAGTTATACATACAGTGGGTACGGAAAGTATTCAGACCCCTTTAAATTTTTCACTCTGTTTCATTGCAGCCATTTGCTAAAATCAAAAAAGTTCATTTTATTTCTCATTAATGTACACTCAGCACCCCATCTTGACAGAAAAAAAACAGAAATGTAGAAATTTTTGCAAATTTATTAAAAAAGAAAAACTGAAATATCACATGGTCATAAGTATTCAGACCCTTTGCTCAGTATTGAGTAGAAGCACCCTTTTGAGCTAGTACAGCCATGAGTCTTCTTGGGAATGATGCAACAAGTTTTTCACACCTGGATTTGGGGATCCTCTGCCATTCTTCCTTGCAGATCCTCTCCAGTTCCGTCAGGTTGGATGGTGAACGTTGGTGGACAGCCATTTTCAGGTCTCTCCAGAGATGCTCAATTGGGTTTAGGTCAGGGCTCTGGCTGGGCCAGTCAAGAATGGTCACAGAGTTGTTCCGAAGCCACTCCTTTGTTATTTTAGCTGTGTGCTTAGGGTCATTGTCTTGTTGGAAGGTGAACCTTCGGCCCAGTCTGAGGTCCAGAGCACTCTGGAAGAGGTTTTCTTCCAGGATATCTCTGTACTTGGCCGCATTCATCTTTCCTTCAATTGCAACCAGTCGTCCTGTCCCTGCAGCTGAAAAACACCCCCATAGCATGATGCTGCCACCACCATGTTTCACTGTTGGGATTGTATTGGGCAGGTGATGAGCAGTGCCTGGTTTTCTCCACACATACCGCTTAGAATTAACGCCAAAAAATTCAACCTTGGTCTCATCAGACCAGAGAATCTTATTTCTCATAGTCTGGGAGTCCTTCATGTGTTTTTTGGCAAACTCTATGCGGGCTTTCATATGTCTTGCACTGAGGAGAGGCTTCCGTCGGGCCACTCTGCCATAAAGCCCCGACTGGTGGAGGGCTGCAGTGATAGTTGACTTTGTGGAACTTTCTCCCATCTCCCTACTGCATCTCTGGAGCTCAGCCACAGTGATCTTTGGGTTCTTCTTTACCTCTCTCACCAAGGCTCTTCTTCCACGATTGCTCAGTTTGGCTGGACGGCCAGGTCTAGGAAGAGTTCTGGTCGTCCCAAACTTCTTCCATTTAAGGATTATGGAGGCCACTGTGCTCTTAGGAACCTTGAGTGCTGCAGAAATTCTTTTGTAACATTGGCCAGATCTGTGCCTTGCCACAATTCTGTCTCTGAGCTCCTTGGGCAGTTCCTTCGACCTCATGATTCTCATTTGCTCTGACATGCACTGTGAGCTGTAAGGTCTTATATAGACAGGTGTGTGCCTTTCCTAATCAAGTCCAATCAGTTTAATTAAACACAGCTGGACTCCAATGAAGGAGTAGAACCATCTAAAGGAGGATCAGAAGAAATGGACAGCATGTGAGTTAAATATGAGTGTCACAGCAAAGGGTCTGAATACTTATGACCATGTGATATTTCAGTTTTTCTTTTTTAATAAATTTGCAAAAATTTCTACATTTCTGTTTTTTTCTGTCAAGATGGGGTGCTGAGTGTACATTAATGAGAAATAAAATGAACTTTTTTGATTTTAGCAAATGGCTGCAATGAAACAAAGAGTGAAAAATTTAAAGGGGTCTGAATACTTTCCGTACCCGCTGTACATGCAATTATCTTCATGTAATCATGTAACTGGTCAGCAGTCAATGATGGTATAAAACAGTCAATGAAATATGTTTTCAAAAAGTGTGAGTCACTGCAACATTGAGCATACAGTTATAGATGAGCACAAACAAATATGATGCTGATGTTCCAGCACACAGACAGACAGAGAGATGCACACATGGATGCACATGCTCACACGACCGACTACTTAATTTCTAATACTTAATCTGGTGGTTATAATAATAACAATGCCCAGGCAGCATGAAACCAAAGTGGGTTCATCAGCAACTATTGACTCGGTAGGTACAGATATAATGCGTGTGTGGTAAAAAATAAAACATATAGTACCTGCATGCTGATGGAGTTCAGAAACCCGGATACTGTTCAAATCCTGAATACAAGGATATGAATGAGCAGGTTTATCCTTCCAGTGTAAACATCAGATCTCAACTATGATCCATACAAAGTTGACACAAAAGTCGGGACATTAATGTTCACGTAAGCCAGTCAATGTTGCATCACATTTTGAGTGCTTTGGTAAAATGCGCATCGGCTCCCAGGATTTTGTCATCACTAAATCTGTGGATCTGAGATTTTGTGCAAAAGCACAGTGCATGTAACTCATTCTTTTTGCTTCGCTGGTCAGCACATTTTTGTTTTTTAAATTAAAAAAACAAACAATTGCATTGCATCATCCCCTTATGTTTTTTTTGCAAAGTCCAGCTATTAAGTCCAGCCTCTAGGTCCGTCATAGTCTAATCAGACCGACATGACAAATCCCAGAATGAGGCATTCTGATACTTGTTTCTTTAGTTTTTGTGAAAATCTCATCAGCATGTGATTGAATCAGCATCTTGTGCCGCATACAGTTGAACAAACATTGCTCCAAATTTTCATCAAAAGCTGATCAGTTGTGCCGGATATGCAGAGTGCGACAGACAGCAGATGGATAGACTGTCACACACCTCACCAGATCTCATTGAGTTATTTTGGCAGACAATACATTAACCACACAGCATCGTTCACACATTCGAGCTACGCGTAATAGAGAGACAGATGGTTCTGCTCTTATCTCCGCATGCTGACAGTGTTTCTGTTTTGCACACAAACACCGGGTCTCTACGACTGAGTGTGCACGCACGTGCGAGGGAACGCGCCGTCCTGTCCCCGGGTATTTGCCATATTAACGGGGAACTCGAGCTTCAGATGTTGCCATTGCTGCTCTTCTGTGATATTCCGATTCACTTTGATGCAGGGCCCTCATCGGCACACACGCAAACATAAAAACACACACACACACACACGTTGCTTTCAGACAGCTGGTCCCTGATTAAATCCCTTGCTTTTGTAATTATTTAAAATTGGCTCACAAACAAAGGTGGAATTCATGGCATAAAAAAAACAAGTGCAGTTTTCAGTCGACCAGTGTCCAGATGGGTCCCCGGCACACTGCACGCTTGTTATTAAGTCCGGTTGATCTTGGGCCGAGGCCTCCACAGTTGTTTACTGGCGCAGCGCTACAGTGCCTTCTCAAGGCCCTCTAAGCTCCGGCTTCAGCTAAGTATCTGGCACAGCAAGCCAAAAGAAGGCTACTGGCTTGCTGAGGTTAAGCTTCATGAGCTATCGGCAGAGACAGCTTGGTTTGTCCTCTGTTCAATTTTGTGTCATTCTGCACGTGTGTGTTTGTGCGTGTGTGTGCGCGGTGGTCAGTTACAGGCCCAGGAGAGTACTGCACTACCCTGTATTGTCTCGTATCCTTATATTAGAGCCCTAATAGACACAAAGAGGCTGTTACTGAGCTGCCCATCATTCCTGCCACAGCCCCTCCCTTCCTCAGTTCATTGCCACCTCCTCCTCATTCCACTACCAAACTGCTGACAGTGGCATGGCACCGAGCCAGACTCCAGCCTGCAGGTTGTCACAGACTGACTGTCCACGTAACAACTCACTAGCTCGCTGATCGACTAGCTTCCACGCATGCCTAACCCCGACTCCCTGACTTGCAGATTTGGGCCGGGAACAAGAACCTCTGAAGGTTTGCACAAAGAGGCAGAAAGCAGTTCTTTGCAAGCATCCCGCTGGCATTAGACGGTAAAAGGTTTCATCCAAAGCACGTCACCTTCACATTACTGCATTCATTCTTTTTACGAGTGGCCTCCGAGAGATTCCATCCCATAAAACTGACGTTATTACACCTTTTGTGTTGAGTTGTTGTGCAGCAGAAACCCACTGCATTGAGAATGATTTATAGTTCAGTGTAGGATTTAACTTGGTTAGCGTCATCACACCACGGCAGCACTAGATGGATGTGTAATGCGTTATTGGGCAGTGTTTTGCATTCATCATATACCTGAAGGGATCTTGTTTACATCTTCTCATTCACTTTGTGATAGAGAGCGATAGTCATGCTGGAGCAGTTTGCATGAGATATGGATTTTCTTTATCACAATATGCACATTTCTTTGTAGCATCACTGAGAGGATGAAGATGCTTAGTTATTCAACCTGCTAAACCGATTCGTCGCACACTACTGATCATGGTTTATCTACCAACTCGCCATCGTTTTTTACACTGGAGATGTCATGTGAAATCAATCAATCAGTCAATCACCGCTCAGATTCAAATTAGTATCACCTGGCTGGCCTACAGATTCAGTCCAGTGATTTGGTTATTCAGGCCATTCCTGAGCGATTTGAGTGACAGGCAGCGTGCCAGCCCACCAATCACCCAGCAGCATTAATGAGAGGTGAGCACGAGGTCGAGTCGCTCCGTCTGTCTGGCTCCACCCTCTATGCAGCTGTCAGTCACCTCGGGCACGGAGCCATGACTCCTGCGTAGACAATGACACGCACCGGGCCTGATGGTGTGACATCGGAGGGAGCGAAGGGTGAGAGCGACAGCTGGGCTGAGCGATGAGGACCTGATCGATCCCCCAGGCATGCCAACAGAGGGACGGCGGGAGGGAAGGGACGAGGAGGCGGAGAGGAAGGGAAGCATGATGGATGGCGTGAGGACTGCACGAAGTAAAGAGCAGCACGTAGGAAATGGAAAATGCGGACTGAGAGGATGAGAAGAGTTGTGGACGCTGCAGTCGTACCTTTTGCATATGTCTGTCTCATTTGGGTCCCTATCTTTCAAATAAAATAATAATGCAATATTAAGCTGTAAAAACAGATGTTTGGTGCGGTCCACCCATGTTCAAGGAGACACTGCAAGGACTCATTTCTCCGGTAATGGTTCTGTCCCAGTCCGGCCACACCCAACAAATGCGGCGGCGGCGGCTCCCAGACCTCAACTCCCAATCGACCGGGCCGTCGCTCAGGCCCAGCGAGGGAAGCTCTACTACCGCACACACTAGCCCCATTGTGGGAGCTGTCTGTGGTGAGGACATCTCTGTCAAATATGGGCTCGAATGGAGCTGGATCGCTCCGAGGGCGCACCGAGGCGTTGAAGCAGGCGATGCAAGAATGCACCGAACAGAATCGGTTTACTTGGAATCACACTGCGGACATAACAGGAAGACGGCAAAGGAAGGCGACGTCGAAGCAAGATTAACTGATTCGACACCATGAAGAAATATTTGCACAAACACAAGATACACTGTAGTACATGTACAGCGCACTGCTGTACAGTCATGCGCTATATATGGGGATAGCACTGCTCATGCCTCTTTAAACAGAACTTTAGCAGAGGTAGTGGGGTTTCATTGTAATGACCAGATGTTCCGCCCATGTGTAGTGTTGCCTTTTCTCACTGACGCATTCCCGTGGTTTATTAGCTTGACTTATTGGAGACAAGGGGTTCGGTTTAACACAGTTGAGTTGACGGCAAAGGCCGGAACATGTCAGTTCCTTTTGTGAAGCATTACTGTATAAAGTAGCTGCAGAGTGAGGGAACATTAAATCAAATGTTCCTATTAATATTAAGGCAAATTGCGTTCATGTAGCCTGCTTTCATCTGCGCCTCCCAGAATACTTTTACATCTCCATCCATATGTATGGCTTCCCAGGTCAGCACATAGGTTTTCTTTTGAAGTCGGGCAGATTCTATTAAATCTAACCAGAGGAATATGTCTGCTTCCACACGGGCCTCCACCGTTCAAACCGCTCCGCCCGGCTCTGATCACCCTGTGAACTCCACAGTTAACGGATGAGGCGGCAGAGAGCCAATGGAGCGACAGCCGGGGCACCGTTTCAGAGGAAACCGGCTTGCGTGCTGAACCTCCCCTGCTTTCTGACTCAGTGCTTCGTTCCAGCGGGGCTCATCATAGCTTCTCTTTTACTCCACAGTATTCCCCCCCCCCCCACCTTTCCTCCCTGCCTCCCCCGAGTCAGAGTTTTTCTCATCTGTTACGTCTCCTGTATCATTTGATTAAGACGCTGTTGAATCCAGCTGTCTTTTCGAGTCTTCGCTTCAGGTCCTCTAGAGATACTGTCAAGGATCGTTTGTGTATTTGTGAACGGTATTTGCCTCCTTCCTGTGTGTGGGTGTGTGTGTGTGTGTGTGTGTCTGTCTGTTGCTTTTTGATTCCACTGAGTGTTTGGATATATTTTATATTTACATATTTCGGTTGGGGATGCTTGTGGTTTGTCTCCACCAGCATTGTGTCTAAGCAGTTTGTGTCTCTTTGGAGCATGTTAGCTAACCTCTGCATCACGTCTCCACTCATTAGCCTGTGCCTGTGTGGCCTATTTCTTCTGCCTCGTTCAAGAAGATATCGTGTTGCTTCATGTTACAGTTTTAGCCTCACTTAAAACCCAAGGGAAATTATGTCACTTAGGAAATAGTCCTACTTCTTCCACAATGCCGTCACGAGCAGGCTCGGGTGTGGCCTTTGGGATATAAGGTTGATTATTGTTCGGATTGAGCCGTGAGAATAGACGGTAGAGTTGACACTTCAAGGGGAAATGCACCTGGGTCTCATTTCAAGAGATCTGTGTCAGGCAGCTGCAATGGGCATTCACAGATTTCACAGAGGAAGGAAGTGTGAATGTTTCAGACAAATATTTATGTACCCACGATGCAAAAGTATGGGAAGGTTTATCTTTGTCCATCCCACAGTTACATAATCATTTTTCATATTTTCTATGGCTTTAAAGCACAATGCTCGGTGAGTGCTCAGTTAAGTTGGAGGCCAGGGCTTCTAAGGGAGCGAGGCTTGAACAGCGTGGGGGAGGGGGAGGGGGGGGGTGTGCAGCAAGAAGGGCTGCTGCAACTTAAAAAGTCTCATCTTTATGCCCGCCAGCGACTGATGTTCCTCACTCATGGAGCAAATTGAGTTTGCATGCCTTGATGACTCATTAACATGGCCTTTGCAGCATTTCGCCGATGCCCCTGTGCATTCAAACATATTCCATCTTTAATAGTTTTATGCGGAGGAATTTATTTGGTATAATGTCAGTGGTAGCTCTTTTTTTTTTTTCTCTCTCTCTCTGCTGATTTGAAGTCTGTGTTTTATATCGGAGTGCTCATTTGTGGTTCCATTACATGCGTGCAGTAGTTATTCATTGTTCATCGACACAGAGCTGAGAAAATGTGTTTTTATCAATGTGAAATATTAAAGGGACTGAAAATAATTGTTCCATTACATTACAACGGGCATTGTTGGAGTCATTAAGCAAAGTCGAGGGAGAATAGTGTTTTTTTGTTGGAGTTTTTTTTTTTTAAATCAAAGTCACAAAGAAATGTCATTTAACTGCCACTTGTCTCCGTAGTTCGCCATTCATTACAGAACAGTAATTGGATGGTGAAACCGGGTATCATTATTGGATGTATGGTTTAGAAGTAGATATGCTGGACCTTTTACAAACATGAAAAATGATTCTGTACTTTGTAGATAGTGTTAAGCTTCAAATAAATAAACTGGGACCGGGCTCCAAGAGGCTCCACTCTGGTGTCTTAGCAAATCAAGTAGAACTTTCACTGCTGTACACATTAAGAGATGACTGCAACTTTTAAATCCAAAAATACAGCAGATATCAGACTAAGCGGTCTGGTTTGGGATGATAAACATTCTCGGTGCCTCTCCAAACTCCTCATTAGTGACGATTTAAACTAGGTGTTGTAGATGTAATATGAAGCAGAATCCTGCTTCATATTACAATTTGTGGACATATTTTATTTAGAGACTGTTTTTTGTTGATGTTGGAAGCGGAATTTCATAATATTAGCACAACATCCAACATGTTTTTTCACAGATTCAAAATCCTGAGCAAAGACTAGAGAGCATCTCGCTATGGAATCACACCCGCTAAACTGGCCGAGGGTGTAAAGTGGACAGTGGCCCCTTGCCCTCTTCCCACCTTCCCTACTTCCTTACTTCCACGCCCATCTTTGAACTCTGCCTTCACTTGTATCGCAACGGCACAACTGTAGTTTTGTTTGTTTGTCTTGCACGGTTGTGACGCAAACAAATACCAGCCATGTGATCACATGTAATAACATGTTCTACAAGTGATCCGGTAGTTTTACATGAAGTTGGTGCTGAACCAGTTGCTTAAACAGTCAATGTCAGCAATTTTAAATCATTATTTAATTGTTTAAAGTAGTATTTAGCAAAATGAAAGTAAGTAAAGTGAAAGTAAATGCATGTAAACATGCCAAACAGCTGGATTTTTCTATTTTACTAAATAAGCACGTTTGGCTTTAGAAACATGATTTGTCATTATTTTCTTCACTTTATTAAGTAATCAAAAAGAGATCGATGGCTTCTATAATAATGAAATTGATTATTACTTTGCACCTCTGCATTGAGTATTTCTGCCGAGTCAGACCATTTTGCGCTCTCTTCCTTTCGCATGCTCACATCCTCTCCGTGTGTCTCTCTCTCCCCCAGGATACCAGACGGACAGGCAGAAGCCGGGTCCCTCGCTGCAGGGAGACTGCGCTCCCTGGAAGACCAGCTCACCAGAGCCAAACAGAAGATCCACAGCTTCCAGAAACTCACTGGCGACGGTAAGCAGGACGGGGCCATGGAAAAGGTTGCAGGGGAGTATTTGGCACAGAGCTTGGAAATATGAACGGATTGATTTCGGAGGTAGGGGGGGGGGGGTTGACTATATACGCTATAAACCAGTCAACGGCTCTTGTGAGCTTTTGCCTGCAGCGGGAAACTCAGTCTAGTCCGTTGTTAAACCCCTGCTGTGGCTCAGCAGCGATGATGGCAGAGTCGGGCGGGCAGGGTTATGTGTGTATTTGCCAATCTAAGCAGTATTCAGACGGGCAGGAAAACTTGTCAGGTGAGCGGGGAAATGTGTGAATGAAGTGCGAGCAGTGTGAATGCCCCGATGGAAGAATGGAGGAGAGAAAAGAGACGGACGGACGGAGAGAAAATAAAGAAGGACGTGTGAGCGAGGAGGGCAGCGCAGGGTCAGCCTTTCAATCTTGCCGCAGGGGAAGAAAAAGCTAAAAATACCCTCCAGCTTTTTTTTCCACCCGGGGAGGGAGGGAGTGAGGAGAGGAGAGATAGGAAGGTAAAAAAAGAGCTTTTTCCTCTCCGCCACCACCTCCTCCTCCTCCTCCTGCTCGAGGCTGTCCTTCCCTTTCCTAGATTTTATTTGTTTGTTTCTCTCCGCAGAAACCAGAGCAGTCAGCTGGGTTATCCATGTAGGCTACTCCACATCGTTTGGCTCGGGTGGGGCATAGAGCTTCTTCCTGTTGTTAGAACGGTGTGAGAACAGACATGAGAGAGAGCCACGAGACAAAAACAGTGATCAAGAGCTCCATATTGAGGTCAAAGCAGCACCCAGGGACAACCAATAATAGAGGAACATTTTCCAAAACCTTACTTTATACCATTAGCCTATTTCGATTTATATAATCCAGTGCTCAAACATTCTTAAAGACCTCTTGGCATCCTTTAAACCTTTTTCCCCCCAAGCTGTGTTCCCATGGAGCTGCTTTGAAGTAATCAATTGATTGTTTAAGATCATACCTGTGCATCAAATGTCAGCCGGCTGAGTGTCTTTGGTTATGTGTGTTGTTGTGAGCCGGGTCTCTCTTACCCCCCCCCCCCACCTGCAGGTCCTGGGCCCACTCAGGAGGAGCTGCGTAGGAGGGTGGAGAACGGCGTTAAGGAGTTCTGGTACTTCGTTCGCAGCGAGGTGAAGAAATTGGCCAACGCCGAGATCAGCGAAAGGCTGAAGTATGCAGACACACTCCTGCAGGACCTGGGCCACCAGGAGAGGTGAGCATGTAGCATGCTTGACAGTGGAAATGTGAAAATGGGTCACAAGGATTTGAAGAAAAGTATGAAATTTGTGGCAAAGCTGAAATCAGTAAAACAAATAAGCATGTGGTCATTTTAAACTCAAAATTGCTAATAGATGTTGGTGTGATTGTGTGTTTGCCTTCTCTGTGTGGTGTTTCTCCAACTTAACACACTCTCAGTAAGTAGTGGGACAATCATTCCTGAAGGATGTATTTCAAATTGATAAATATAAACATTTTGAGAGCCGTGTGGAGGCAACAGATACCCTCTGAATTCCATATTCAGCAAGTTAAGAAACTTCTAAAGCAAAAATTCTAAGCAATCTCTGTTTCTACCTTTTCAAATTCAGATTTCTTTTGTTTTTTAATCTTAAAGACTAGACGAGCATAATCATCAACAGATTTATTGATGATGAATATAGTCATTAGCCGAAGTCCTCAGTGGACAGATTGTTGGTGCTCAATGGTCGTCTGTATAAGAAACGGCTCAGAATCCTGATCAGTGTTTTTAATCTGTCTCTCTGTGGACGTTGATTACAGACTCCCATGCTACTGTTTACCAGCTCTGCCCACTGACGATGTCAAACGTTGACACGTTTGACAGGTGACCTTGAAAGCAGCAGTGGCGGCGGCGGGGCAAAGGCCATCGATGCGTTGTGTCTGTCATCTGGATGGCTCACACACTGCTGAACGAAGAAAGGCCCGATCACTGAGCCAAGTGGTTCATTGTAATCCTGCTGAAGTGGCTTAAAGGGCCCATTGTCTTAGCGTTTGCTGCCTAAGCAGCTTTCCAAAGACTGGATCCTCACTCCGTACACATAGGCATGCATGTGTACACACACATATACAGTCACAGAACTTTCACATGCATTCACTCTACTCTATCTAAGCCCCCCCAGCTTTCTCTGTATCTACTGCAGGCAAAGGCCAGGAGGGCCAGCACAGATCGGGGCAGAGGTGGAAAGAGCAATGAAATGTTTGACTCGTATAAATGCATCGCTCCCTCGTTTGAATTCTTGCTCAGGGAGGGTGTAAGGTCCTTCGCTGCGAACATTTCCCCAAGTGAAATAAAAAATGTTAGCAACTTAGCGGCCATCCCAATAAAACCAATCACCGCGTTGTGGTGAGCTTTCCGTTCCACAAAGCTTTATCGGCAGCTGAAAGGAGACTGTGTGAAAGTTCACAGAGATCTGACGGAAAGTTCAGATGTCTGTAACAGGAAACGAACGCTTCTGCATCTACGAAAGAGTGCACCGCAATAACACAATTATTGTTTTCGACTGAAATAATTAGACGATCTTGATCTACTTTAGATTTAAGTCTATTTATTGTTTTCATTATTGATTCGTAATCCGATTTATTTTTCTGATGAATCATTTTGTCTCTAAAATGTCAGTACATCAAGTGACGGTTTCAAACATTCTAACATATAGTTTTAATCGACCAACTGTCTATAACTATGTTGAGATACTCAGTTTACTATCGTAGAAGATGAGGATCATGAGATCGTGACAATATTCACATTTGAGAAGCTGGAAGCAGTGGGTTTCTCTGCTATTTTTACTTATAAATAACTTTAACAACTAATCAATAATCCAAATTGTCACAGATTAGTTTTCTTTTTATCAATGAATCGACAATCATTGCAGTTCTAATATACTTGTAAAGCAAGAATCAATCAATTTTAGACAGAACAGCGACTACTGTGTAGATACATGTTTTTGACCATTTGGTATTAATAAATTGCATTTCACAGTATATCCGGGAAACACATGCAGTGTGTGTCCTGAACTTATCACTGTGTTTTTAGAAGAAGAAAACAATCTCACTAGAGATCCACAATTATAACTGAACTGAAAAATGAACAAGAGTAACTAAAACATAGTTGTAGTAATCCTTATACTTAAAAGAAAACTAATATTAAGAAGATTCATGCCCAAAATTATTATTATTATAAAACAGTGAAACAATACAGTCTACGGTCAGGTTGGGTAAACTCATTTTCCTGTTTATTTCCCACCAAATGGCTGCCATCATGTCATCGAACAGCACGCTATAGGCCAGGGAAAGCATCGGCCTTCTCTTTCCTCCTGTTCCCCCATCCTCTGTCTTACTTGAAACCTTGTACATGCTCTCACCTTGTAAATGCTCTCCCATCGGTGCAGCATCGGTACTCTGTAAAGCTGTGCTCTGCTGCCAAGCCCCGCGGCTGCAGCCTCAGCGTCTGCAGTCTGAGCCAATCAGGAGCCCTGGGGAAGCCCACAAGCTTCACACACTGGATGCCCAAGACCACACACACACACATATTTGAAAGCACACACACTCCCCGATACACATGGACATCAGGGCTATGTGGTGTCTTGGCTGCCAAATTCCCCGTTTTATGTTGATTCCTTCTTGTTAGGTTTTGTGGCCAGCCAGGTTAGTTTTTACCGCCCGCAGAGCGCCAATGATTGCTCCCCCGTGTGCTTCTGGAGGAGCATTTGACATCCGTGCACACATTGTGGTTCCAGCTTCAAAATGGGACAATGAGTAATGATACCGTCTTATTGTAGAGAAAGGCACTATTCACCCCGCCGCACTGTTGAAATGGGACATGTTGCGTTTATCTGCTTTGTGTATGTGTGTGTGTGTGTGTGTGTGTGTGTGTGTGTGTGTGTGTGTGT